GAGATCACCGAGGGAGTTGAGGAACGAGGAGAGAAAATCCCGATGCCAGTGAGAGATTGGTTCTCTGCTGAGCGATTAAAGTCAGGCTTTGGCAATCACGTCAGGGTCACCAATTTGTAGCGGATTGCTATCTTAGTAAAGCCTGGCCGACTCAGAAATCTCTATGGCAGATTCTCCAACATCTAGCTAGACTCCCAGAACTAGCTAAGCTATAGCCCAGCTATAAAGGAAACAGACGTGTAGCACGGAGCACGTTTATTCAGGACGTATATTGCGGATAAAGTGTACACACAGGGAGCTACTCATGATCAGGTTGGACGTTTAGGTTAAACAGAGGTTAATGATTGGTCACTGTTTGCACGGTCGCTGCACACAGAGTTGAACGGCCGCACCTCCCAATCCTGGCGAGCAGACATGCAAGCATACGATGACGCACACAGCGATAACGTGTCCCACAAACTAAATATAGCGAAGTGCTCAAGTGTCATTCAATAATTGTTGATTTCAAAGAATATGTGAAATTCAAACTCGCCAGGACTCAAAAATGATGCTTATGCGTATTCAAAACGCAATGATTGCGGTACCCTTTTTAATTAAGTTAGCTTACAATTTCCCATACCAAAATTGGAAAAAGTACTGTTTTACTACTATTTTTCGTTAAGTAATATTTTTTCACGACTTTTTCATTTAGAATCAATAATCATGACGAAAACAATGCCACAGGTATGCCCTTAAAAAAGCATTATGCCATAATATATCCCATGAAATTCGTATTTTATCATGGACCAATTATACCTGACCTTAGCGTACAAATTCCTCAGTTTTGGGCTTATGTTCTGATTTAAGAGCAAAACTTTTCGTTAATTTAATTTTTGAAAAAGCATGAGAATTCCCAACGTTTCTTTAGAAAAGGTTGAAACTATTCTTACTTTTCGCGATAACAATAAGCCCCAAAGTTAGCTCAGTATTTAAGCTCAAATTTATGATTTTATAAGGAGAGCGATGAACTTACCTCAACGTGGTGCACCCTGGGTAACGTATACACGGCAAAAGAGTCCGTGGTGCACCCTGGGTAACGTATACTCATACGGCAAAAAGTCTATTAACTAGCAGTTGACTTCAGACTTTAAACTATCACGACCCCACTATTTGTTATATTCGACCATTTCCACAGTGCTCACTTCACCTTGTTCTCTACTTTTGCGTTTGTCTCTTTTACATCAATAAATCATCCTTCTGTCCGCATTCCCCACTTTTTGTGACTTTGTTTCTCCCACCTGTGAAGCCCGAAGTTAACTAAAGGGCTAATAACAACTATAATAAAGCCTGCCATTTGGCATAAATAAAATAATTTAATGTGATCTCTTGGGTGTGTATATTTTAAAACTGTTCGATTGTACGGCGTACAGAAAAGAACAAAGAGATACTATTAATCCATCAAAATGTATCTCAATGATTGAAAAGGCCATTTCAAAGCAATGAATTGCATTTGCTATTTTTATGAAGCAAAATACAACTTTGTGAGTCTGTCTTCATCCCTTAATGAACAATCAAAAACTCTTTGATAGAAATATTAAGTCGATATTACAATTTCTAGAATCTCTAGTGAGGTATGATTACTTTTGAAAACTTGATGATGCATTAATTTGTGTATCATCAAACTCAAACGACTCATGTCTCACAAAAATTCTGGAAAATGCTTGAAGACATGTGTCAAATACAACGACTAGCTGTGGAATTTTAGATTAAGGAAGGAGCAAGTGATTTTGAATTTTTAAGTTTAAGCCTAACAAAGAGTTAAGTACACTCTATTAAAATTACATGCGAACGACTTCGTAACAAATTCCCATGATAATCACCAAAGTGACATATTATTAGCAAAATTGGTAGCAAGTAAAGAAGCCAGATTTAAAGACATAATTATAAATGTACTTTATTGTGGAAGGAAGAATTTAACATGGTGGCCATCCAAGTTGTTTTCCACCGAGAACATGAACATGCAAATGATAGACTGATTGGCCCCCATGTGGTCCGTTATTAATCACAACACGAAAACCTTTATCTAACTTCTGTTCAGCAGCAACCTTCTTGGCTACCAAGAGAAGATGGCCTAAGAGCTAAAGAGGGTAATTTAAATGCAACTTTGATCTTACCTTTGTATCCTCATCTGTAGCGGCATCAAGTTTCGAAATGGGCTTTTTAGGCAAGACAAGAAAATGAGTAGGAGCTTGTGGAGAGATATCATGAAAAGCAACGCATTCTTCATCTTCGTAGATGAACTTCGCTGGAATCTCCTTTCTAACTATCTTGGCAAAAATATTATCGTCATCAGGTTTCGCTGTTTGAGCTTTTTCAATTTCAGAGGACATGCCGCTTATACACAATCGATACCTAAAGGCTGATCGAATTAGTGGTGTGAATAACTGTAGCATTTATTTCAAGGTCACGAATGTCACTGTCCTAATTTAGGTAAGTATTCACTCTTTGCTAAAACGCCACATATACTTTAATTGTTAACAGTTTTTCATTGAATGCAATTATTTTCTAAAAGTATAAATTCGATACTATATATTAGCAGATAAACAGACAACTAATTATGTTAAACCAAATAAACGTGCACAAACTTAATACAATTTTCATTAATTTATTAAGGTTATCTAGTATATCATAAAGAAAATTAAAAAATTTATAGAGTAATTACTACTAAAAGGTCACGTGGAAACTTATTTTTCTCCGTTCATTGATAGTTCGTAGCACAATAAGGTATATATTCAGATAACAAGTTGACTCATCATTGTTTTAGCCTCGCACAACTCTTATTTTCATCACTCGACTAGCAAAAATCTGAAAATCGACTGAATTCAACTTGACAATCTACTGTCATTGATTTGAACATATCAATTGCAAATATCTAATTCATTCGTTGCCGTACGGATTTGCAAAACTTAAATTATTTTGCCTAGAAATAAAGTAACCATCGCGGTAGTTACTAAATCATATGTAATGTATAACTGTTTGACCTCTTTAAACCAATAATAAAATTTTGTTGACATGTTTATTTTAAGTTTCTAATTATAATAATTTTTCGGTTGTAGCAAAGAAAGCCACTTGATATAAGAAAGCATTTTACCTTATCAATCACGTGGGTACTTAGTTACTCACACAAAGTTTCAAGACTTAGAGCTGAAAAAAAGTTGTCACAAGTGGTTATCGTGCGCCTATGACAAGTCAGGGGTAATGGGGCCAATATTCAGTTTTGCCGATGTACGACAGCAATGTTTAATTCAGCGTAACAATGAGGATAGTAAGATGCAGGGTTCGCTTAATAAAGCTCCAAAATATCTTCTTTTCAGCCAAATTTGCCTGAATTTTTAGGGTTAATATTGAAATATATCTTTCTTATAAATGATTACGTCACTGGAAATAAGCACAGTGTAATTTGTAGATTGAATGAAAAAGTTCAGTGTGGGACTTATTCAGAATTATAAGCTCAGCTTATCCTTTATCTTAAGGTATGCCTTATTCATATGATAGTATTCTTCCAATGATAGTACCCCATTAATTCCTAAATTCAGCTAATTAGGTCAAGAAGAAAGTGCTGTTTGCCAACTATCTTCAAAATGCGCATAAATAGCCCAAAATAACCAACAAATGTTGTTGGAATTCTGAGTTTTACAATAAAAATAATAGAATGATAATTCGTTGAAATAATATCCGAAGCTTTTTACATATGTAACTGTTAAAAGTAAAATTTTATATAAAATTTAGTGGTTCGAAAACCCTTGAACGTTTGAATTTGTTAGAGTTTTATTAGAGACCATCATCATTCAGCAAGATCTTATTGGCACGCTTTCTTTCATACATCCATTTGAAATCCAAAGGAAAAGCTGTCGCCGATGAACACGGCTTCCCTTTGTGGAACCCCCTAACAGGCATCCCTTAATCCTTAAACCAGAAGCGAACTTCCCCACTATCTTCGTTATATTTCAAGGGTTCTACCAACCTTACCGAAATAGATGCACATATTCAATATTATTCTTTGCCCAATTTCAACTCCACCTTCAAGCGCAGGAGCTAAAAGATAAATTTTCCATCTAGGTCCTTAGATATGCTTCTCTATCTCCATCTACTTTCACCGTCTTAACTCAAATACACTTTCTCTTTTTTCTGCCACTTCTTATCACAGTACTATACCATACTTGTGAATTATCGAACTACATATTTACCTTACTATTTTTGGCATAAGTTCCATATTGCCATTACTGATCATGATGCGTAAAATGAATTGTGATAAAAAAATCGTCACAGAACATTGAAACGTTTATATTACAAACCGAGAAAGGAAAGAAGATAAAATTTAATCGACAGGTAACCAAAGGAGGTTCAGTTTAATATAATTAGGAATTAATTATGGACCTTATTTATAATTTTAATTCACTCCTCCAAGTTTCGATTTCGGGGTCTAATCCATCGGTTATGAGTACGTCTACATTTTGGCCAATAAAATGGGTCTTTTGTCATGCCATTTCGATAATGCTATCTTGCCTAAAAGGTACCGAGTGGATAGTAATAGCTCATAACGTCGAAATCCTTTAAAGAAGTCCCAAATTATCGGAAACACCGATTTAAAGTGATTGATTAAACAACAATTTGTCTAAAATAGCATCTCGGTAGATAGTTGCGTTTTGAATACTAGTAATAGAACACAGTTTGACTCATGACATTCCTGTGTCTACACTCACACAGTGAAGAAAACACAAAAACGATTGCTCGCTCCAATTATGGAGTGCATGCTTTTGTTGCCTACCACATTCCACGCTTTCACCTTAAAAGGTAAAAGAAGGAACGAAATTTCGGAATGAGATCGTTAGTAAGGAGATGGAGCCGAATTAATAATGCGAGGAAAGCAAATCAAACTATGCCAATTTCAAATTTATAAGCAATATATGAGAATGTGAATGGCTTAATTGCGATTTCAATCTAACAGCAGGGAAGGCTCAGTATATAACTTGTTACTCAAAAAGATTAATTTTATTCAGCTGCTTTTTAATGCTAGATCTGCTTTTGTTTTTCGTTGTGTACGATATTACCCCGCTATTTCTATAGCCGTTTTACGACATACTACCCTGTATCCTTCAACACTACATTTTTTAAACGAGTAAAGCTGTACCACGGGAATGCATCGACTCACACTCAATTCCTCTCACTTGTATTAAGACTTGACACAATCGGTGATCGACCTATGTTACAAATTCTTTCATTAGACCTCAATTATAATATAACTAAAATCCAAAGCATGTAATTATGGACTATTGGTTATATAGGCAAGATATTCTGCAGCTCTTTGGATTTACAATTTCGCATGAATTTCAGATGCTAAAGATGGTTCCCATGAAGAACGTATTTTTCATAGAACACAATGCCTCTTTCATTCAAGCTAATGCATATGAATTATACCCTTCATTCAATAAAGAATGTATTACACTCTTGGAAATCAATTACTAATCTGACTTATTTTCCCATAATATCCTTCTTCTAATTAACTAACATCAATTTCAAAATATTTTCTTCATGTTGGTTAGCAAGAAGTTTACCCAAAGATTAGTTCATATACAAGATGGAGTCGAGTTAGGGTAGTCACATCCGTCGAACATTCTTTAGCTTAGGAATATTGATCTTAAACGAGGATTAGGTTCGTATTCATTACACGATTTAGCTATAACCAACACAATCTAGGGAATAGAAATTGCTTCTTGAAAATCAAAAATATCGACTAAATACCAAGACTTTTCTGTTCAAGAAAGTAAAAAACTTTAGATTAATTGAATAAAATATCATTTGATCAAAAGTTCAGGTGGATACAATGGTCTTCAACCAAACAAAATAAATCTTTGGTAAATGAGTGATTAAAATAATAATAAATAAAAACGAAAAATTCAAAGGGTAAATATCAACAAGGTGGCCATTTCAGCTGCTTTCCCCCAACAACATGAAGATGTAAATGGTATACGGATTGGCATCCATGCTGTCCATTGTTAATAACTATACGGTAGCCCTTGTCCAACTTCCATTCCATGGCAAGTCTTTTGGCAATTATAAGAAGGTGTCCTAAAAGCTTAAAAATTAGTAGGTATACAGGAAGTACCTCTTCATCATCATCTGCAGCTGAGGCGAGTTTATCGATATATTTCTTGGGAACCACAAGAAAATGAACAGGGGCCTGAGGACCTATATCTTTGAAAGCAATACATTGGTCGTCTTCATACAGAATCTTTGCCGGGGACGTTTTTCTTATAATATCACCAAAAATCGTATCGCCTCCTATTGTAGCGGTTTTAGCCCCGACCTCATCGACAGACATCAGGTTCATAAAAGTGCGTTATCGTCTAGGTCATAGAGACTTTATAATATAAAATTTTAAATAGATTGTGAAAAATATAAATTTGTCATATTTTAAATAAATTACTTAAAAATAAAAACATTCTTCATATTGCTAAATTTATTCTGAATTTATTAATTATAATTTGATTAGAATGGTTGACGTGATTTTACTGTAAATAACCATGCTAGTGGGTATATTTTAGCTTCACAGTAAAAATTAAGTTTATGCTGTTCTTCTTTTATGCGCTTTACGTTTGAATTTCAAGCTAAATTTTTATGGTTTGTGCCGATTTAAATTTTTGTAGTTTTAATTTATAATTTGCACTTGCATTACTAACATGGCAATTAATAGTAGTCGTTGAATCTGTATTAGAAGATAATATTTTAAATATTAGCATGATAAATTACTCTGAATTCCCCAGATCCCTTTGCCTTCTCGCAGGTCTTCGGACGAACCGGTCGTGGTGTAAGCTTTTATTTTGACTTATTTATGATCTTTCATGTCAGACATAAATATATTTAATTGTTATTAGATTATCTGATGCAAGCGACTCGACTAAAGTTGCTGATGATGAAGATACTGACTGTCTACTAGTTGAATCCGTTGGTAAGCCACCGAAGGCTGACTTTGTCCAAACCACATTCATTCGAGAGAGCAACGGATGTCCCATTTTCGGAGTTGCCTTCAATTGCGTAAATCGTATGTCCTCTGATGATCCGCTTCTTTTCGCTACTGTTGGAGGAAAGCACGTAAGTCTATCCGCTCTTAATTTTTGTTAAACAGTCTATTAGGTTTGATTGTCTTTAGCCTTTTCATACTTAACTACATGGGAAAAGTTTCGTGTTGGTTTTCTTATATATTTGGGAACAGACTCTTTAAATTGAGTTGTATTTCCCTTCCAGTCTTCGGCTATGAACTTTTTCTTCACATCTGTTTGACAATTTTATTTCTATCGATCTAAGTTTCAAATTCGCCGTACGGGGGAATTGATGTCATCGGGTTTAAAAGGCATTAAATCACCACAAAAAACGTTTTCCACCGAACAAATGAATACCAATATAAATTAAAGCCCACCTCTTTAACTGCAGTGCTATAGTGATTTTGGTAATTTTCTTTGATCTTTTCCTTTTTCCAATCCATTCCACTGAGTTTGAATTTGAGACAAGTAAAATAATCAAGTGTCATTTCTTCGAATCGTGAGTGTTTTGGCATCTAATGCGATTCATCTCCTCCAAATACTGAAAATACTTTTTCGCAAGATGGAGTATATTTGAAAAATTTTATATAATTTCTTTACCAAAAAAGGTCTTCATATACTGATCAATGTCAAGTATTCTTTCAGGCGTCAATTAAATTCAAATGCAATTGTTTCAAGCATTAAACAGGTAGAGGCTAAATCATGTGTCCTATTGGCTATTTTAATTCCTCCGGCAAGGACTCATTTCCTTGTCTTTTGGAGTCTGGAGATTTTGCTGTTCGTACTTTGTCTTATCGTTCTATTTTGAAATAAATCCATTGGCTTCATTAGCTCTGGTGCATTGATGGGAAGGGTTGATTTCTTACATTCTCTCAATATGTTTACACTGTTTCGCCCATTTCTTACACCTCACTGGATTTAGAGGATTCCATCTTCCCAATCCCCATCTGGTCTTCCCGTGGTTCTGTAGCCCTACTGATGGATTGCTGACTTTCCCACTTCGCTCTCCGCGATGTTGCTTTTAGTTTGTTTTATATTTTATATTCTCCCCTCCAGGTGAATATCTATCAATGTCGTGAATTCTCTTCTGAGGAATTGAAGAAAGCAGACACAGTGAGGGAGCCACCAATTCACCTCCTCCAATCCTTCGCCGATCCGTCCAAAGAGGAATTCTATTGTTGTGCTTGGTCTCGCCTCCTGGATGGCAAGTATGAGGTGGAACCGGCCAAGGGGCAACAGGTTGTAGCTGTGGCGGGCAAAAATGGCGTCATCCGACTTTTGTGTCCATCTTTGGCTCGGTGTCTGGACAGCTTTGTTGGACATGGGCAGGCGGTCAATGAACTCAAATTTCATCCAAATAATCCCTCTCTTCTTTTCTCATTTAGCAATGGTAAGGCTGGTTCAATCCTTGATAAAAACGTGCATTAAAATAATGCATTTCTTAATGAATTTTTATATATACAGAGCGTATGAAAACTAACCCCCCCCCCCTCCCCACCAAATAAACATGCTGACTGTTTTAGAAAGTTCGGGGACCGATTGATTGAGTGTAAAATAGTAAAGTTTATAGGAAAAGTATGTGTTAAAATCGTTTACAAAACCGTTAGGTCAGGGAAGCTACATGATAGCACACCTTCCAAGATTAACCTTGACAAACTCTTTCCTAAGTTGTTTCGGGAGTTATTTCCGTGGCTTTAGTTAATTTTTTGCTCCCACCATAACTCCTTTGGAAATGGCGATCTCTAGCTGTCACACTTTAAAGATGATATTACTCACCGTTGAAATCTCGTTTTCCTATTCTGTGTTACTTCTCCTGCTGGAGTTAACACCTCTCTAAGGTCACGAGTTCAATTCTACTAGTCGATCGCTTAGTGGACTCGTTTATACCCTTCTATTTTATGACTCTATTAGTAAATAAATTTCATTCGATTTTATTGATGTTTTAGCCCTTCCATTCTAATAATCTTGTAGGAAGTCAGCAATCATGTTCCCAAGTTTTCATCGGCTGGGGATTGAATAATTTCATCCCACTTGTGTTATCCAGATTTTCTGCCAATCTTTTAGTATGCTAGAGCACTGCTCTTGGCATTTTGACAATCTGGATAAAGCTATCCATCATTAAAAGGTTAATGAGTTGTCTTGGAGACACCGCAATTTAGCACTCTCAGAGATCTTACTGTTGTAATTATTATTTGAATAGAGATCGGACTTTATTTATTAACTGTAAACATCGCTTGTTACGCAAATAATGCTTTCGAATATTCTTACTCCAGCTTTGAAATTTTCTCTGTAGATTTTACCGCACGTCTTTGGAATATTACAACCCACGTTGTTGTTGCAATTTTCGGTGGTGTTGAAGGACATCGTGCTGAAGTTCTTACTGGTGACGTCTCCTTGGCTGGGGATTATCTTCTCACTGGGGGCATGGATCATCATATCAAGATCTGGAAACTGGACACAGTCGATATAAAAGATGCTATCAAGGCTTCAAAATTTTTCAAAAGTGCCGCTGAGAATGAAGGGTGCGTGCTTCGAAACTATTTGTAAAGTCAATATGTGGAGCTTAGTAGTGTAAACGAGCAGGCGGCTTTGCGTTTTCCCAGTCTGTAGTTAAGCAAAGGAAAATTCTTGTTGTTGTTGCCATGGGAGTGCTCGAAAATAACATATAGTAGTTTGAAGTCAGAAGTCAACTTCCGGTTTATAGACTTTTTAGGCGTATGAGTATACGTTGCCCAGGGTGCACCACGTGGAGGTAAGTCTATCGTGCACCCCATTTCGACGAATGTGAGTGTGCAGATATTTTCTCTACTTGTCAACTCCCTTAAGTGTTCTGTGAATTCTGCAGTGCTGAAGGTATTGACTGTTTATGCCACTCCTTTTTATTAGTATCACTAATTCCACCTAACGAGAGTGCGTTAATGAGTGATATTCTAATCGATGCAAATAAGCAAGTCGACTATTACGTATTATTCACTAATCTGGTTTCAGGATCGTAGATGAAAACTTTTGAGAACATTTAACTCTACCGATTACTGAAGCCGTGTCAGTACCATAGGATTATTTTTAAAGCCAGCTGAAAACGGAACGACTGATTAACTTGTTTTCGATTTCAGGAAGCCCTTCCCTACATTGCAGCAACACTACCCCGATTACAGCACTCAGGTGCCACATGGAAACTACGTGGACTGTGTGAGATGGTTCGGTGGACTGGTGATCTCCAAATCTTGCGAGAACCGTGTGATTGTCTGGATGCCCGGCAATGTGGACTCTAAAACATCTCTAGATCTCAAAGCCATCGAACCTCCACGTCAAGATGCTATTGTAGACGATTATACCACGACTAAACCTACTCAAGTCACAGGTGCGTTATCTTGAAATAATATTATTATTTATTACATACAAGTAGTACGTTTTAATTTTACCATCAAAGCAGCACAACATTTATTGTCTTTTATTTTACAGGGCTACCCGTCGAATCGGGCTGCAGCATATTGCATTGCCTCCCAATGGATGACACAGAGCTCTGGTATATCAGATTCGATTTGCATCTGCAGCAACGTCTTTTAGCTCTGGGTACTGGAGCTGGATCGCCGAGAATCTACCTGTGGGACTTTTCTGAACTCAGTATGGTTATGGACCCTATGCCAAAGGTAGGGCTGCCGTAAATACTTCTCGTGACATTTATTGATAACCCAAACATAATGCTTAATACACATATTGTTTACTTCTTATTCAGGAGGATTTGTTGCTGCGTTAGTTTTTCCCACTTTAGAATAAATTATAATGGTATGGAGGTGAATTTCCTCCAAGTTAATAGATTAAGGACATGGGGGACGTAAAGCGCTCCCTATAAAGATTAACTACTTCCGTTAGCTATTTCAGGTGTGCTTAAAAGCCTTTATTCTCCTTCCTATGGTCATTTCAAGTTCATTAGATCAAAGGGTGATAATACAGGAGTACGTGGATATCAATAAAATATGTACTGAGCAAAGGGAAGTGCCCCTGAAGCTTCTGACGTTTGTACAACCTATGTTGTGATTAGTGTTACGCTCTCATATCTTGAGTCACCGATGTACCATTCAGTTCAACTCTAAAGTTTCCCGGGGGGGGGGTGTTAGTTATTGACCCACAGCAATGAGGGTTTGTGTTTGTTAGCATTTTGTAGTCTCGCGCTTCGTATGATTGCGAAAGTTGACGCATTCTACGCTTTATCTTCTAATTGTAATGATACTTGCAGGGTGGTAGGACTTTGCTTGGTTCTAACGCAATAATTCACCAGCATCGAATTAAGGTACATCGCAATTAAAATGTTTATTTACGTTTATGTGCCGGCTATTTACAATCATGGGGAGCTATATTAGTAAATTGATCTTTATGCAAAATGTGTTTTACTCCTTCGTGAAATTTTTTTGAAACAAGTAAAAATACAGACTAAGGCTTCCGGGCACCTCGTATTCCTCGGTTAAGCCAGTTTGGGTTTTGTTCAGAATCGCTTGGGTTAATTGGTTTCACTATTAGACAATTACATTGTATTATATGATCCTACTCTTCTTGTAGATTTTGAAGATTGTATCGACAGGAGCAGGCAAGGTCGAGAACTACTCATCTATTCGTCAAGTTCGTTTCAGTGCAGATGGACGTATTCTCATCGCCGTGGGAGAAGGTGGTCTGATTGCCAGATTTGACCGAGTCTAGACGATCGATTTGTAAAAAATTACTGGAAATGTACAAAAAATGCATTTTTGTATGCTTGTCATAATGGACTTGGCATTATACTAATTGCTATATTCAATTAAGAAGAATTCTTAAGCTGGAAATAATGGCATTTGTATCCATCCTCATTTATCGTGGTTAATGAATAAATATGTAAACATTTACGGGCGACCATGTCACTCGTTTTTTATGGTCCTGTACCCTTAGTGATGACCATAAAGATATCTATTTTGGAAGTCCGTACCTTTTTCTTAAGTTGCTTTAATTAAGATGTTCCATTTTTTATCTCGTTTGTTAATTAGTTTCATTCAATTAGCTCTTCCTACCGCTGACACTGGTGACTCTTATTAGACTAATACTCGAAAGACTGGGATGACTTAAATACTGCCCTTGAAGCTAATTAATTTTCGCTTCTAAAATATCCTTTACTTCATGCGCCTTGGTAAGCACCATATGGGTTTGCCTGAGTAGGAAGGGAAGTATGTAGGACATAGTGTTCTAATTTAAAGGCGAGGCAAGGTTTGCCAATTCGATTCCGATAAAATGAGTGACAAGTGGTGATGTCTTTATGTTTTGGGTGTTTTAGATTTCGGAAATCGTTTTTTATGGTTCCAAAGTAGTTGAGGTTCATTAAGGAAGTGGGATCGTTACAAAAAATAACAGTTAAGAACTAAATCGGGACATTAAACGATGAATGTTCCAAGCTATTTCGGAGGTTTCAATGGTACAATGTGAGTTTTGAGTACAATTTCACTTCATGTAGACCCTTCTCAGGTTAGACGGTTGAATAAAATTGTGCATTGCATCTTAATTCTGTAGCTGTGTTAAGCGTTTACTTCTGAGTTGACTGTTTGAAGGAAATTGTGCAAAGTCCTAGTTAGAGCAGGGGATTTATAGCGTTATAACCTCGGCATCTAAACGTTAATCTACCTGATGATTCCTGTGATATTTTGCTTCAGCGTAATATAATTAGATAATGGGAACAATATCACTAACAGTGGACACATCTAGCTTTGAATTTTCATCTTTGTCCTATGAAAACTGTAAGTTGTGGGCTATCCTATAAAACCACTTGGCCTCTCAACCATTAAAAAAGCGATGCGAATCGATAAGACCAGTCCCTCCTGTTTAAATAATACTGGCCAATGGATATTGAATGTTACAGACAAGAGTACAAAGAAGATATGGTGGATTTTAAATTTTGGAGTGTGGTCTGCTCTTTTATTCGCTTGTCACTATTCAAATTTGTAAAATTTATTTTAGTCTAATTTATTGACATTGCAACGCTAGTGTTTTGCTAGCGAGTTTCTGGGATCATCGCATCGAATTTTCGCGGGCACAAATTCGGAGATTTGATAGCTTATTTCAAACAAAATTGGACATGAAATTAGCTAAGCTATTTTGAATTACATCATCCCTCATTGGACTTCGAAGGCGATGTTTCATGGCACATCTTTGATGATCTTTTGAGAGTGTATTTTCGATTGCTACCATAACAACTACAAAACGGCTTCTTTTTATTCAATATATATATATATATATATATTACATTTTATTGCCGAACTTTAAACACTTTCTGACAATCAGCCTGTTTACATGCCTGACCACTTGCAATACCGGATGCTGAAGGGCCGATTTCGATTTTTTTGCTTACGTCAACATTTGGTTGCTCGTGAAAATGTGAACATTATTATTGATTGTACTAAGTTCTACACATACCGGTCATTGAAATATTTTGCAATGACCGTTCCGTTATTCTTTAGTAGCAAGAATGACCCACTTTAATAGGAGTATGTGTCTTGGAGAAAACTGTGAATGGGGGGAGGGGTTGATTGATTGCTGTATGTAAACTCTAAATTATGCTCTGGGTCAACCGCTTTTAGGCAACTTTCTCCAACACGTGACAGAGAGACAGAGGTAAATTCAAATAAAAACACAATCAGATGTTGGCAGATATAAAAAAGGCGTAAAAACAGAAAGCATGCTTAGTCTTTATTAACGTTTTCTCTATCTGAGAACAAATTGTCTAGCTTGGAAATTAGTCATATCTTCCAGTTAGGACATGAATATTTCCTTTATTAACACAAAAAGATGGGAAAACGCACTGGACGAGTCAAATCCAATTTTTTTAACTAAGGAGAAATGATATGGAATAATCAGAAAGATTTGGTGAACAAATACTCGAATTCTATCATTAGTCGGATGAAACTAGTTGTTTGTAATTCTCTCTCTGGGTGAGTACCCATGAATGTCAAACCTGAGCACGTTTATTGCTGTGCCAGTGGAGCAGAAAGACAGGAGATACAGTTTGAAGCTAATCAGAGGCCTTTTCTAGGAAAGTGGTGGTAAGGAATAGGGTGAGATTTTCTCCTCTCTTTGTTTTAATTCATCTTGCTGAAGTCAATACGGGATACTGCACAAAAACGTCCTTGTTGAAGTATAGAAATCCCCCTAGAAGTTTAACTAACCTCTAGCAGAGTTGTCTGGCACAAATAGTGGGATCCTTGGGGTTAATGTGTAGAGAATTTACTGTGAAATGTTTGGTAATTGAATGTAATTAACTGAAGGCCTTTGCTTCCACGTTTGAGCTTTCTCGACTGGAAGTATACACGTAGTCCAGAATGTTCTTCACAAATTATGGTGTAATAACAACGAGAATAGTAGATATGACAACCTCAATATAATTGAGCCTAACATTATTAATGCGAAATGCAAGGTAAAGTTTGTCTTTATTTGAGATTACCTATTAGAATGTTTTAAGGTTATGATACTTAAAGTTGTAAAATATTAACCCACTCTAATTATCTTAATTTTGTTAAAGAACTCGTTTCAAGGCGTGGCATTTGGCTAAATGACATTGGAAAGGTCGAACCACATTTTTATTTAAGGTGATTCATCAGCTGACAAGAAACAGATCAAGGAAACTCAAAATGCTGGTAATTAAATGGACTAGCAATACTTCTGGCACAGTGAACACAGAGCTAATTAGAAACCCATACCTCGAGTCCTGATAAATGCGAAATTTAAATGAATCGAAACTATTGAGACGTCAACTATTTCTTACCTACCTCCAGTAAACCTTCATTTTAAACCATTAAATATTTTCATGTTTAAATGCTTTTTAATTATTGAAAATTACTAGGCCTCTTTGCCTCGCCATATGTCTCATTACTACTATTCCTGTGATTCACTAAAGCAACTTCAACAACAATTTGCAAAAAATGTTCACTGTTGCTATCTGCGATATTTTCTTCATTCAAGGTGAACGATGCCTACCAAATTTAAATTTCATTATCCACCTCCTTCCCCTCCTTCAATTTCATGAGAACTGCAGTAATTACTTGCCCACTGGTGTTAACAGCGTAAAAAATTTTGATTTCGTAGAGTTCTAATCGGTAAGCATATCGAAATTACCGTAAACGTCGCAAGAAAAAACGAAACCAGTGGGATTGCAATAGGTTGTCACTTTTTTAACTACCGAAAAAGTGATGTTTATAGGGCCTCGTCAACTAGCATTAGATGGTAATAATCGATGTAATATGGGCTTTCTTAAATCTAATAATACTGCCATATTTTGAAAATGCGCCTAAATACTACTAAAATAGGCTTTTCGATTTACACCAATTTTGAAGCACCAGCTTCCTGTTACCTCTCGAGTAACGGGGTCTTGTACTTGTATTCAATTTTTACTCTTGAGGTCAGATGAAATAGGATCCATCTGATCCCTTAATTCCTTCCTCAAATTTTCGTAAATATTAAATCGTGCTACACTAATATTATTTATTTACATCAACTTGCAGGCTTTATGATAGTTAGCATTAGCCCTTTAATCGACTTCGAGTTTCATAGAGGGGAGGAACATCAAAGCCACCAAAAGTCAAGAGGGAGAAAGAAGAGTGATTCACAGTTGTAAAAGGTATAGAAAAAGGTAAGATAGGGTGAGTACTGTGAAAGTGGTCGAATATGGCAAGAAGTCAGGTCATGATAGTTTGAAGTCAAAAGTCAACTGCTAGTTTGTAGTCTTTATTGCCAAATGAGTAGGCATTGCCCAGGAAGTACCACGTGGAGATAAGCCTATCGCACATCCCTCGCATTATCATTTTTAGTGCATCAAAGTTGCATATGGAAATTTCGTAGTTGAATACAACTCCGTAAACCTATCTTCCTCAACACTCCCCCTACCCCCCCCCCAAATAACCAAAAACTCTTGGATAGAAATATGAGCCTAAAATACAATTTTGTGAAAGAATCTCTAGTGTGAATGTATAATTAATTCCAAAAACTTGATGATGCATTAATTTGTGTATCATCAAACTCAAACGACTCATGTCTCACAAAAATTCTGGAAAATGCTTGAAGACATGTGTCAAATACAACGAATAGCTGTGGAATTTTAGATTAAGGAAGAAGCAAGTGATTTCGAATTTTTAAGTTTAAAACAAACAAGTAGTTAATTAAACTCTCCACATTTTTGTTGTTTTACAAACTTGCTCGCTCCAAAATCACTGGAAGTGCAAGTTTTATTTCATCTATACTGAAGTATTTCCCTAGAGAAATTACATTTTCTACATTTATATTCATAAATAATTTAATATTAATAATTAATATACTCCATATTTATACCTATGACACCTTTCAAATAAAGTATAAAAACTGCTGAAGGGTTACAAATCGAAGCCCCATAAAATTAACCTCTTTCCAAATTCGTAGTAAAAGTAAGTGACACTTCAATAAGTTCATTCAGTAATTCGCAGTTTAGCAGTTGTGCGTTGGCAACGGCCTTGTAATGCCAAGATGTAGATTACCTGATTTGTTACATCTCTTTTTTTATAAAAGCGATTCAGTTGAATTAGTGCGGATTTTATCTGTGCTTTCTCTTAAGATGCATTCAAAAATGCGGTTTGAACGCATCAAGTTCTTATTTCAGACATGGTTGGACGAGTGTGGATGACGTACTCCAGAACCTACTTAATCCTTGGCGC